GGGGGGGAATGCACCCTATGGGGGAATGCAGAATGAGGTTTTGGGGAGGAGGGAGGAGGGGAGGATGACCCATGGGTCTGCGGGCAATCTGAGGAGGGGAGAGATATCCTGGGGGGCGAGGGGGGTTTTGGGGAGGTTTGCCCGTTGCATCTTCCACACTGCTCGCTGCCTCAACCGATCTGGTCCACTTGATCTAACACCCGACCCCACCCCCCCCAACATCGCATCGGCCTGGCTTTTGCGTTCCCTATCCGACCCCGCGACCCCACGGGCTTACCTTCCCCCCACCTTTCTCCTTTCCTCCCCCTCTCCGTCACAACACACAACACACACACACATGTACACACACGCACGTGCGTGTACACACACATGCAAATACACACACATGCAAATACACACACACATGCAAATACACACACACATGCAAATACACGCACACACGCACACACGCAGGTGCGGCATGCTGTACCGTGGTGCCAACAACAGCGCCCTCGCCCTCGCCATCTCCCAAATGGACCCCGCCTGGGTCTATTCAGACAACAACAACAACAACAACAACAAAGATAACAATAGTAATAATAATAGCACGGAGCGTCAGAGAGGGAAACCCCGGGGGGAGAAACGACGACAGAAACCAAAGCCGGGAAACCAGAATAGGCAACAGATTCCTTGGGCCGATGGACCGCGGGAGGAATCGCCGGTGGAGGAGTCGCCGCGGGAGGAATTGGTATCCCCACTGGACGGGGAGGTGGAGGAGGAGGAGGTAATGGATGGGCCAGTTTCCGACGACGGGGAGGTGGAGGAGGTTGTATGAAGTGGGCTAATTAGGAGTGGACAGGTGTGTGGGCGGGTTGGAGGGGTTCAGAGCCTGGGGGGAAGAGGAGGGAGGCGAAGGCCGTGGTTTTGTTGCGGTGGTGGTGATGTGTGGTGGTGGTGTGCGTGGGGCGCTGCGGTGCCAGAACCCGAAGTGAAAGGTAGAGGCAGGGTAGGTAGGTAGGTAGAGGGTAGGGGCCTGAGGGTGGATGTGTGGATGTGGATGTGGATGGGTGGGAGTCAAAACATCAAGGAGCATAGCCGGCGAAGGAGGAGGAGGAGGAGCACACACAGAGAGACACACATACTCACACACACACATGGCCATGGCCATGGCGCTGGGCGCAAAGATGGGCTCAGAATGGCGGAGAGCAGCGGCAGCAGAGAGGTCCTGGAACACACAGAGCATGTAGCGGGAGGACTCGGAGGACATGTGCAACTGGTGTGCCGGGTGTCGGATGGCAGCTGGGGGGG